GTCAGCAAGGTTGTTGTACATGTTGTCTTGATGTGCAGTTACTTTGTGAAAGATAATTTGAATTTTGTATGAGTTAATAAAGTTGATAAGTGAGTTCCATAATGAAAAATATAGTGTATGTATATAGGATAAGGTTATAGGAGAGTTTACAATGTTTTGGTATTTAGAAATTACAGATTAAGAGTCTATATATATGTTTATAATACTATTTTTAGGAGCAGTAATAAGAGCAAATAGAATAGCAGTAAGTTCGGCTTTAAATGAACAAGGCCATAGTTTTGTTTGAGCTTGAAATGTATGTAGTATAGAGTTATTAAAAATTTGAACCCATCCAATATCTATAGAGCATTGTGAAGTACCCAAGTTAATAACAGAACCATCTGTATAAAAGTGAAGTTTTAACAGATTAGCATTATTGTTGGCTATTTGTTGAAGATTGTGTGTAAGTGAACAAGGTTTGAAAATTGTAGGAATTAGTTGAGTAGCAATAGTAATTTTTGGAAGATTTGGAATTTGAATGGGATGTCAAATTGCAATAGAGTATATAAGGTCAAGGTGGTTAGCATTAAAATAAAGAGTTTTGTTATGAGTATTAATTTGACCCAAGAATCGAGTTGAGAGATTAGTAGAAATAGTAATTGTATATTTGTTAGCAATTGTTTAAGAGTTAAGAGAACAGCCTAAACATATATATAATTGAATAGGAGAAGGAGATAAAGTTGAGTAAATTGTAATTTAATATTACATTGCCAATGTGTAATAAGAATAGATCCAGATGCAGAAGGTTGCCTTCTGGTTTTGCCAGCAATAATTTGATCATCAAGTACTATAATAAGCCATGGTTTTTTGTGAAATGAGAAGTGTCCAGTTGTATAACTATAGTAGTTTGTATCAGGTAAGTGTAGGTGTTGATAAAGTGTATGATTGTATGAGTAACTTGTAACTTGGTCTTCTAAATAAGTAAACCAAAATGGCTGTTTGCCTTTAGGAATCTTGTAAATACAAGGAGAGATATGTTTCCAGTCCAATAAGTATAAGTTGTCAAATGTAGTAAGTTGATCAAGATATAGAATACCATGATGCTTAAGTTGTTTTTTAAAAGTTGAATATTTTGGGTGTGAGGAAAGCAAAGATTCTAATGAGATAGAACCTTGTTGTATAGTGTATGAAATGTTGTAAGTTGGATTAGAAGTAAATGTAATACCAAGATGTTTAAAAAGTTAAATTATTTTAAAGTTAGTAGTATGTTTGTTTGGTCCATCAATAATAGGATTCTTATAAATTAAGATGCTGATAGGTGACCAGAGATTGTTTTGAAGCTGTTGAAGCTGAATGCAAATGCTAATATCAAGAAGATCTGAAGAGTTAAGTCTTTTAATATAATTTGTAATATGGTATTAAAGTTAAATATCCTATATATTTCAAATATTATATAGTTGGAGATGAAGTAGTGTACTAGTAAGAATTGTACGGCTAAGTTTGGCTTTGCTTTTAACAAGTCCAATATGATTGATAAGAATTTTGTTATATGTATTCTGACTTAGAACAATGTTATGAATATGATATTCAATAGTAGAAATAATAACTGTGTTGATAATATATCGTGCGTATATGTATGTAATCTTTTTAGTACTTGCAATTTTTATAAGATGTGATGATTAAGCTGTAATGAGCTTAGTTTGTTTTGTTTGCTTGTTGTTAAGTGTAAACCAGCATCCTAAAAACTTAAATGATTCATTTGAAGGATGGAGATTAAGTAAATGATTATTGTAAGTAATAGAACTGTAATTAGTTGAAAGGTTATTAGTTGTAAGTATTAATTTGATAGGATTGATTTGGATGTTGGCCATGTTGTAAAAGGATTCTACTATTAACAGAATTTGTGAGAGTTCTTGCTGTGAAGATGCAATTCATAGAGTGTTATCCATATAGGCAAAAACAGAGCAATGAGATTCGAGTTTGTTAAATGTTTGATTTTTTAGATTAGTTGACTAGGAAACTTTAGTGTTGTATTCATTAAAGTTATTGTAGATATATGAGATAAGTGGGTCATAGTATATTCTCCATAAAAGTAGAGTAATGGTTTCTCTCTGATCGATACCATTATGAACTGGATATGAAGAGATAAGACCAAGATTTGTAATAACTTGATTTTGTTAATTAGTAAGTAGATTAATAATAGTGTTGGTAAAAGTACAGAGAGTGATCAAAATTTACTAAACAATTTGTTCGTGCTCAAATAAAATTTTTTTGCACATATTGACCCCCCAAATTTATCCCAATTTAGAATGCAGAAGATAATCTCTTTATATATATATATGTATAGATATTCAATTCTGCATATTTCTTTAAAAAATTCTGTTAAACATAATGCTAATTTTAAAAAAAAAACTTTTCAGATTAATAAAAAAAAAATCAGCTTTCCTACAAGTTTAAAAATAATACCATTAAAATGAGATCGACTTTGTAAACACAGATAGCATTATTTATTGTTAATTAAGTCACAAACAAGGTTCTAGCAGTTGCCTGTTTAAAAACTTTTGCACAAGTATTACGCCACCAGTTAAAGGCACAGCTTTAATATTAAACAAATTTTTTAAGACTGAATTAACATTAAAATTTTATAGGGAACATTTTTTATTAATATGCAGAAGGCGGCTTTATAGTCAATATTCTAAGTTATACTTAATTCTCGAATTATCTAAATTTTTTATATTTTTTTATGTTATTTCTGATTTTAAACTTTTATTAGCTGGCTAATTTTCGTAATTTAGTAACATTAGAGTAGCAAACAAAAGAAACCTTAAATATAAAAAAATGTTAGTTTAATTAGACTAAGATTAATTTAACATTTAGCTAAATATTACACTTCCCTATGTGATAAAATTTGAGTTAATTTAATTTAGCATTTATCTTTTTATTTTATACATATATAGCTTATCAATAATAGTTACATATTAGAATAAAGCTAAGTTATTTACAAATTATTATTATTATTATTATTATTTATCATTTCATTTAACTATTTTTACTTTATTATATTTTCAACTAGTGCAATTCATTTCTTCTAGAGATTTAAATTCATGCCTTTGCTAAATATACTGCTGCTTACTTTCATCCTGATACTGGTTGTCAATATGACCTACTAAACCCATCTTCATTGTCTGAAGCGTAGCTGAGAATTATCCATATACAGCATAGTGTAGAGCTTCAATCCTATTTTTGATAGAAAATCTGAATTCTAGTAAATCCAGATTGAATTCACATCAGATTACATACAAAGTTAGTTTTATAGCATATTTTTAAGTTCATTATTTAAGTTCTTTGACCAGTCCGAGTAAACATCTCTGGTCTTGATATTTAAATCTATTCAGATTTAAAGATTAATTCAGATAGTCAGATTAAGGATCAAGGCTTTAATGTAGTAATAGACTAGGTTTGTATGCGATTTTGTCTGATTTTTGAATCAATTTATCTGTTTTTACAGTTAACTTTAGCTAACAACCCTTAATAAATAAATTTTAGTACCTGTTTCTTAGTATAATAATTAAACTAGCATTAGAATTACTCAAAATTATTTAATATAAACAATCTGAATTTATGAGTATTTATTATGTTTCTATCAAAAAGTATTCACCCTACTTTAATTTATCTGGATTGAAAATGAAGTCATGAATTTTAATCACTATTATAAAATTTAATTAGTAAAATGTATATTAATAACTAAAATTATGATTTTTATTTTCAACACAGATAATTTAATATAGGGCAAATATTTATCTGTAAAAAGTGTATTTACAGTGTAGCAAAAAATATTATAATTACAACACAGCAAGATCATTAAATATAATTAGAAATTATTAAGTTTATTAAAAATTATGGTATACGCTCACTATCATTATCACTTATAAGCTTATAGCATCTCAAGAGATTCGAGTTAAAATTACAGGATATTCAATCAACATCTATTTTTTTTTTAAAAAAAAGAATAAGAATGTGTCTAAAATTACTATTCGTTGCCACTATCCTAAGTATAAACTCTAAATGTTTTGAAATAGTGCTAGTATTATATAACTTTTTCTGTTTTATTTGTCTTTTTTAATATTTTGTGATTGCCTATACCTTCAGGTTGTTTGAACAGAAGAAACTGTTAATATCTGTCACACTTGAAGTTATATATAAATAATTTCAGTTTAACTGATCACCCTGTGTAAATGACGAGGTGAGGGATTATATCCATAATATACATTTTAGAGTAAACACAAAATAAATAATTTTTAATTGATTGACTACATCATGTAAAGGATTAACGTATATATTGACAGTTCCTCCTATTGATTGTTTGTATAAAATAGTTTTGTACATAGTTTTTTTTAGAATTCTAGAACACTATGAGAAGTTTAATAAACATAAGTAAAAAATTTTCAGTTTTATTCTGAATATGTAGATATTCCTTGTTACAATTAGATTAAGCAATTTTGAAAATATTTTTTATTTTTATTAAGCATATAATCTAGCACAGCATATTGGCACTAATATATGATATTAATATTTAGTTGAACCTCCCTTAGCATTATAGTATGCCCTTACTTGATTGGGCATACTATTGACTAGCCCACGATAATATCTGGGTGAAATCTAATTCCAAGCAGTCTTAACTTTTTCTTCCAGATCTTTAATGCTTGTAGGTTTATTCAAGGAACTGCATAAGTGGCTTTTAACCTTCTGCCAAAGGTTTTCTAGTGGGTTTAAGTCTAAGCTCTGCAGTAGCCAAGGTAACATAGAAATACCTGCATTATCAAAAAAATTCATAGCTTTCTTGGATTTGTGAAGAGGTGCATTATCTTGTTAGAAAATGCTTTTTCTATTAGGAACTAGCTGACATATAGCAGGAATAGCATGTTTTCTCATAAGTTTGACATATATTTCACCATTTATATGACCATGAATTGGAATAATTGGTCCTAATCCATGTCATAAAAAACAGCTCTAAAACATATAGCCAGAACTATGACCTATAGTAGAAACGAGACATGACTCATTAAATTCTTCAGCAGGAGTATGCCAAACTCTGATATTATGACTTGATAAAAATTGTCTAAAAAAAAACTCATCTGATCAGATAACATTCTGCCATTGGTGAGTCGACCAAGATAAATGATCTTTGGCCTAAGCATACTGTATTTCTTTATTTTTTTTAGAAATTAGTGGTTTATGGCATGCAACACATGAACAAAGACCAGTTTTTTTTAAAGCACAATGTATTGTAAAAATAGAGATGGTTTGATTTTTTTCTTTATTCTATAATTCTTGTATTTCACGAGCACTTAGATGATGATGCTTAGCATCTTGTGTAACAAGTTTTTAAGTTCTTCTAATGCAGATGTATCAAAAATAGCCTTTTGGCCTGGACATTTTTTTACTGCAGTGGTTTCTGCTTCTGTACGTTTTATGGCATCATGAACAGTAGTCTTTCTATATTTAACATTTTTAGCAATAGTTGAATATGAATTACCACAACTGTGACTATACAAGATCCCACCATGTTGTAAAGTTGTCAATTTTTTTTTTTTTTTTTTTTTTTTTTTTTTTATTAAGGTGACCTCTTTTGTCTTTTGACTTTTATTAATCACTTATCGGTATTGTGGTTTAATGAACCACTACAGGAGAGCATACAATTGGCTACATGTATAACTTTTCTATATTACCTATTTAAGGAGTCTGTCTGAAGGTTTTCTACCAATTGCCATCCAAAACCCCTGCTTGGGTGTTCCACTTTAAACCCTCTGAACCTGTAAACTGTGTTAATATCATTGGTCATCTCAGATGTACCAGATCATCATCCTCAACCTTAGGACTAATTTATCCTCGAAGTAAATCCCCCAGAGCCTTCTGTACCCATTTTTACAGCTGACCTAGATATCGCTATGGCAGAACCAACACTTGCAGTTAGGGCTGATCATTAAACTGCTATGCTCTTGTAGAGTTCACACAAACTCTAGCATCTACTTCACAACATATCTGAAATATTTTAGTATACCCCTGCTAGTTCACCAAACTCCCAATTCAGATAGCCCGGTAGGACTTACAACTGGTCCATTGGTATATCAGATTGACCTGATATTCTTTTCCTTCGGCTCAATCCAGCAGCCTGGTTGGTGGTACCCTTCACCTAGAGGTTTTTGCCTATTCAGCTACTTCAACCTTGGTATCCATTTCATAAGGCTAGCCTTTACAGTAAGGCCATCGAAGATCTGGTTACTTCTCTACTCAGGTCTTCCCAAATGAACTTCTTGTTACCCAATTTTAACAGATTTACATGACCACAAGGACTTATCTAGTGTTTGCACCGCCTATTGCCGGTTTGCATTCCTTTGTGTAACCACAACCTTGTCCCAAAGGACAATGTTATGCGACCTGTTACACGAATGCCCCATGACCTACCAGTCATGCTGATGTGATTGCCATTACAGGTATTCTAATCCAATTGTTAGTAACAGTTGCTGTAATACAAATATTACATAGGTGATTATCCAAATTTTCACCATTGATGGGATTTGAACACCCAACTTACCACTTGGAGGGTTGACAACCTGACCACTTCACTAGGTCGCCACACCCCGTTGTCAAATTTTTTTTCTTTGCTATCAAATTATAAAAACTTAAAGATTAAAGTAATTTTTCTAATGTTCTTTTTTTTTTTTTATAGAGTTTTTTTAATTTAGTTCATAGTATTAGACTTACTGTCATAGTAAGTTTAATTTTAATTTATTAAACTTTATAGTCATAATGAGTTATTATTATTTGTACTGTACATATGAATTAATATAATTCTTTTATAATATAGATGATCCACCTATATTACAATCTAAATGACTAATAAGAACTCAGTTTCTAATATCGTTGTAGTCTAATAAATGATTATAGCATTAGGTAGGATCTTTTTTATTTTACACTTTATAATTATTAATGTATTCTATATGATTCATTACTGTACTATTATATTGGGCTTTTTATAAGATTTGCATTATAGTTCTGTGAATGCTGATCATATTACTATTAACATAAGCACTACATTTTAATAAAAATGTGCCTGGCACTTGTGAACACATATCGCAGATAAAAATGACTGTAATCATTGTAACATGATTGAATATGCCAAATTGACTGCACAAAGCCTGCATAATTAAGAACATAGATTAAGAAGATTATTATTCAGACTCCCAGTTTCAGAATAGTGTGTATAAAGAACAAGTAAATAGCAATAAAAAATAGATCAAACTCAAAAGAGGAAACTAGAATAATGCTTACCAAGATGTTTCAAGAACAATTTTGTAATATAAAAACCTAAAATAGATAAATTTGGTTAAAAAACAATTAAAATAAATAAAAAGAGACTTAGCTTTAGCAGTCCCGAAGGCACTTTGTAGGAGCAAAAGTTGGAATTTTCTAGATTGAAAATAATAGTAATATTAGTGTTATGTATTATAAAACAAAATCAAAAAGACCATTTTCTTATGCCTGCCTAAATCAAGTTCATGTTTCAGTCAAAGCATACATTTTTCTGCTTTATCTATTGTTACTTACCACCTCACTAGTTTGTATCTAGATTTAAATAAATAAAGAATAAGAGTTAAAAATAAATAAATAAATATAAAAGAAGGCAATAATATGAATTATAGAATTAAATAAATATAAAAATTAAATAAATATAAATTGTACACCAATGGCATCCTGTGGCAATCATGCCAAGGGTTAAAAAAATATATATATAAACATAAATATAATACAAAGAAAACAAAAATAAAATAAAAAAGAATAAAATAAAATAAAATAAAATAAAAATAAAATAAAAAACAAAAAAAAAAAATAAATAAAATAAAAAATAAAAGCAAAATATAAAAGTAAAAAAATAAATAAATTAAATTAAAAAAATTAAATAAATAAATAAAACAATAAAAAAAATTTTAAAATTAATCTTAGTCTAATTAAACTAACATTTTTTTATATTTAAGGTTTCTTTTGTTTGCTACTCTAATGTTACTAAATTATGAAAATTAGTTAGCTAATAAAAGTTTAAAATCAGAAATAACATAAAAAAATATAAAAAATCTAGATAATTCGAGAATTAAGCATAACTTAGAATATTGACTATAAAGCCATCTTTTGCGCATTAATAAAAAATGTTCTCTATAAAATTTTAATGTTAATTCAGTCTTAAAACATTCATTTAATATTAAAGCTGCGGCTTTAACTGGTGGTGTAATACTTGTGCAAAAGTTTTTAAACAGGTAACTGCTAGAACCTTGTTTGTAACTTAATTAACAATAAATAATACTATCTGTGTTCATGAAGTCGATCTTATTTTAATGGTATTATTTTTAAACTTGTAGGAAAGCTGGTTTTTTTTTTATTAACCTGAAAAGTTTTTTTTTTAAAATTAGCATTATGTTTAACAAAATTTTTAAAGAAATATGCAGAATCGAATACTTATACATACATATATGTAAAGAGATTATCTTCTGCATTCTAAATTGGGGTAAATTTAGGGGGTCAATATGTGCAAAAAATTTTTATTTGAACATGAACAAATCATTCAGTAAATTTTGATTACCCCCTATATCAGGAAGGGCAAGACACTGCAAAGAGTATTTAAGAAGTTCAAGATTAACTGAATCATAAGCTTTGCTCATATCTTGGGACAAAAGTCAAATTGGTTTTTGATTGCATGATGCATCTTCAGTAAGGTTATTGAGTATGTGTATAGGTATTGAGGTACTATTGTTAGACAAAGCAACATAGTTATATGGTAAAAGAATTAAGTGCTATGAAAATATTTTACTGATTCTGTTAGTAGTAATTTTTGTGTAGACTTTGTGAATATGTTCAATAAGGCTTATAGGGGAGTAAGGTTGAGATCTCCATCAAATGTGTTTCACTTTGGAATTAGATAAATTCTGTTGTGTTTCTATTGTTTGGATATTTAGGTTGAGTTAAGGCATCAATTAAATAGGACAGTTATGGCTTTAATGCAAGTAGCATCTGCATGTTTGAGCATTTTATAACTGATACCTGTAGGTTTACAGGCTTTCCTATTTGAAAGTTTTGTTATAGTTTAAAGCACTTCTTCTTCCATGATAGAAGCAGTAAGAGGGTTATACTATTGGATGTCAATGTATGCTTGTGGTTGATATTGTGTAGACTAAAAATTATGAAATAAGTTTTGGTCAATTGGTGATGTGCTGTCTAGTTAAGAAAGTGAGATTGTATGTATTGTTTAATAAGGTGTAGTTCTGTAACTAGTTGGTTAGGTAATTTAATGTTTGAAAAGTAAATAGGAGATTTGTAATGATTAAGAATGCTGTTAATGGCTTGTTTAAGATGTGTAAAAAGGGTTTCACATCTCTTTTCAGTAGTTTGTTAAATTTGTTGTCAGAGTAATAGGGAGTTTTCAAGATGGCATATATAATAAAACTGTTTCCAAATATCTTGTGCATACTGAGTCCATTGTTTAAGTTCTGAATTGTAGTTAGAAAACAAGGTTTTAAGATTACAGTTGGATCTTTTATTTATATTTTGAATCTTGGAATTAATTGGATTAATATTTAAATTGTTGTTAGGATTTTTAACAATTTTGATTAAGTGTCCAAGTTCTTTAAGTGATAGATAAAGT